TTAGAATTTTTCTTCCTTCTCTAGACATCTCTCCGTTCTTATTCGGTTAATCAGAATTCTAATTGGACTCATAAAAAAAGATAAGGGTCATGAGTATGAATAAAGACGTATGAATATCTAATAATGTCAAGTTGCTCAGAGGCAAAACTGTGTCTTGTCGGTTCCGACTAGTTAGTGGTAATGGTCGGAGTTACACCCAGTGTTTCGATTCCTTTTTGTGAGGCTTGAGAAATTAAAGAACAAGTTTTGATCATCCGATCGACACTGACAACAATCCGGACAACAATAGCTCGTGTTCCACTTTCTACTCTTTTGTGACATTTTATTAAAAGCGATTGAATTCGCGTGGATCATATCACCCAGAAATCCGTTTTCCCTATTATATATATATGAAATGGAATATAGATTATATTATTTATTTTGTAGAAGTTATTCATGTTAAATGGAGTACTTCCGTAGAATACTCGGAAATTGATATTACAAAAGGAGGACAGGTAAATAAAAAGATGATTCTTTTTGGAAAGTGATGACAAACGAAAGTTTGCAAGGCTAATGAAGAAAGACAATCCATTCTCCTTCTGTGTTTAGTCCGTCAGATACGTTTTTCTATAAGAATCGATCATCATTCAATAAAACATGATACATTTTAATCCAACATTTGATCTATGAACTTCGCATATCAAGATTTATTATTAAATTGGATAATAACCTCTTGGTCATTTGCTCAATTGTAATACTCCATTCATCCCACAATTGATAACAGAATAGAGCTTACTGCAAAAATCTAATCGAGTAAAAAAATACATCAGAGCAAGGCAGGCAGCTGTTCCCCTCTTGTCCCTAGCTCGAGAAAAATTAAATAGACATTTTTTTACAAAAAATAAAGTATTCATGTACAGGGTTCTCCACAAGTTGAAAGAATATCTAATAGTTGAGAAATTGCTAGGATTAGTTGAAACCTATGTTCTATATACAGGGTGTAAACGTTATGGTAGTCATTATTGAAATGGGTAATAGGGGGGGTCAAAACAAGTCAAAAAGTTTATATGACCCCTGGTCCAAAAGTCAACAGATTTTTGTCTAAATGGCTTTATAGTTTAACACTTTAAGTGCTTTACATCGACCACAATAACCACAATCTTATTAATTTTTACAATCTAATCTAAAACGTTTTTTAAATTGGGTAATTAACAAATAAATGGCATTAAGTTTTTCTAAGTTCAGCCAAAATTTGTAGTCAGTAGGTTAGTAAGCTTCATTAAATTAAATATTTATAACACACATGACAACAGCGCGTCGGTCTTTCATCACTCTTATCGAACCGGCAATCGATCGCAAACGGTAACAGTGGTTAGCTTTTGTTTTGCATAGATAAATTGCTTTATCGTTTTGTCGAGCAGAGCATCGGACGTGTTGTTTTGTTTTTGTTCGCGTACGTCGTCGCGTTTATTTACAATGTTCTCGAATCAAGAGTTCGCCGACATGTTGTTAGTTTACGGTGAAGCTCATCAGAATTCAAATCTTGCAGCTCAAATTTATCGCAGCAGATTTCGCCAACGGGTACACCCAGATAGAAGGACATTTGTGCAAGTGTACCGAAGACTTCGAGATACAGGAAGTGTTCAGCCCACTAATATTTCTGATCAACAGCCAAAAAATATCCTAAATAAAATCAACAAAATATTACTATTTTTAATCTGCTAAAACCGGAATGAAACTTATTTTTTCAATATTAGTTCAAGTTTTAGAGATACGGTAATTATATGTGTTCCTGCTGTGACAGTGTTAATATACTGTAATTCACAAGAATGCACGTGCTACATTTTTATATTCGGCAAGGAAAGATGATGTAATCGGCATGATTGTGTTACGTTATACATACGTGTACATTATATTGTTTTTTATATTAGCCATTTTTTCCTCAGTTGGCTGACAGCGTTCATGCAAGATGTCTCGAAAGTGTGTAAACAATCCAGATCAGTTTTGTTACGTGTGTGGTGATGTGACTTTTGCGTCTCAGAGACGGTCTATTACTCCACTAATAACAGAGGCATATCAGCTTTATTTCGGTTGTAAACTAGGTGATCAAGACAAACAGTGGGCACACCACATCTGCTGTAATACATGTGCTTCAAGTCTGAGGAGCTGGTTAAATGGCAAAAACGGTCTATGCGCTTTGCTGTCCCAATGGTTTGGAGAGAGCCTACAAATCATATTAATGATTGTTATTTTTGCATGGTACCTTGTGTTGGACAAGCCACAGGTATGTCCAAGAAAAAAAAAATCGGCTATCAACTACCCAAACATACCATCTGCGATGAGACCTGTGCCTCACAGTGACGAAAATCCTATTCCAAAACCCCCAGAATCCTACACTTGCGAATCAGAAAACGAATCAGATCATGGCGATCGAGTGATTCGTCAGGAAGAAGATATGCCATCACTGTCAAGAGATCCTGATTTTATACCGAGCACGTCATGCCACCAACCGCACAAAATAACACAGTCAGAATTAAATGATCTTGTAAGAGATTTAGAACTTCCAAAATGTAAGGCAGAGTTACTTGGATCAAGACTGCAGCAGTGGAACTTGTTAGAAGACGATGTTTCGGTATGTGTTTTTCGTAAACGCCACAAAGACTTAGAACCATTTTTCAATATGGCGGCTTTAAATATAAACTATAACCCAGAAGAATGGAGATTGTTTATAGACAGTTCAACATTGAGTTTAAAGGCAGTGTTATTGCATATTGGAAATATTTTACCATCTCTTCCTGTAGGGTATGCAGTTCACATGAAATAATTATATGACAATATGAAGTACCTATTGACATGCATAAAATACGATGAGCACCAGTGGCATATTTGTGGCGATTTGAAAGTTGTTGAACGTTTACTTGGGCTCCAGCTAGGGTACACAAAGTTTTGCTGTTTTTTGTGTGAATGGGACAGTCGGGCAAAGGCACTTCATTACACCAGACAAAACTGGCCTGTTCGTCAATTCCTACAGCCAGGTCAAAAAAATGTACAGCATATGCCATTAGTAGATTCGAAAAAAAATTTATTACCACCACTACATATCAAGTTGGGCCTAATGAAAAACTTTGTCAAGGCATTAGATAGAGATGGGTCAGCTTTTCAATACCTGCGTCAGAAATTTCCAAGACTAAGTGAGGCAAAGGTTAAAGAAGGTATTTTTGTTGGGCCACAGATTCGAAATATTTTGAAAGATACACAGTTTGAAAACACTTTAACAGGTATTGAAAAAACTGCTTGGAATGATTTCCGTCTGGTGGTCACTAATTTCTTGGGAAATAGAAAAGCTGACAACTATAAAACCCTTGTCAAAAATATGCTGTCATCGTATCAAAAGATAGGCTGTAATATGTCTCTCAAGATACATTTCCTATACTCACACCTGGACTTTTTTCCTGACAATTGCGGAGCCGTAAGTGATGAGCACGGCGAACGTTTTCGTCAGGATATTTCAACAATGGAAAAAGGTACCAGGGAAAGTGGAATCCTTCCATGCTTGCAGACTACTGTTGGACTCTTGGTAGAGATGCTCCAGAAACGATCCATAAAAGAACAGCAAAAAGACAGCGCATATAGTGATTCTTATAAGTATATGAATCTTGTTACTTTTTTTAATATATCCTTAAAAATAAAAAGTTTTTTTTCTAAACCGCAACTAATTTTTTTATTACATTGTCATTTTTGGATTCAGCGCCCCAAAATTAACAAAGAAGTGCACTTTTCCCACAAGATACAATTAAAAAACTAAAATTTGTTGTCCAGTATATTCGCTACTGTAGAGCAGGAGGAACAAATTTTAAATATCGTGGAAATCATAGAGATATCAGCACTCGGGAATTAGGCCGCCGCGTAGGACTATCGCATACCATAATCCATAGAATCCTACGGGAAAATTTGCTTTATCCCTACCATGTACAACGAGTGCAGGCCTTGTTACCAGAAGACTATACTCGCAGACTAACATTCTGGCAGTGGTTTTTGCACAAAAACATTGAAAATCCGGTTTTTTTTAAAAACATTCTAGCGACAAACGAATGTACTTTTACGCACGACGGGATATTAAACTTCCATAATACTCACACTTGGGCCCAAGAAAATCCTCATACCATTCGTGAAGGTCATTTCCAACAACGTTTTAAAATAAATATTTGGGCGGGTATTCTTGACGATCAGGTAATTGGACCTTTCGAGTTACCCCCAAAGTTATCAGGAGAATGATACCTTAGCTTTCTAGCCAATAACCTACCAGAACTTTAGGAACAGACCTTAGACAACATGCCATTACAACAGAGTCAGAATTTGTGGTTTCTTCATGACGGAGCACTACCACACATTTTTAGAGGCGTCATTCAGTATTTGAATGAACATTATCCAAATCGCTGGATCGGTCGAAAGTGCAGTGTGGGTTTTAAAAAGAAAAACAATGTATCTATCAAAATTGTGTTCCCTATTTATGAGTGGATTTTTTTAATACGTTCAATAAACTTTCACACACCAGGTGAAGCGCTGAGACAGTTAGTGGTAAGTCCGTTTTTTTAATTGTTTGCATTTTACGAGTACATAATCAAATAACGAAATAATACCTAAGAGCCAAAAATAACAAACTACATCTTTATTTACACTGCGTTCCGTCGTAATTTGGGTCTGGCATTGCGGTGTTGTCAGATTTTATTTTACTTTAAAGTCGCTTTTCTCTAAAAAATTAAATAATGACTATCATAACGTTTACACCCTGTATATTACTGATATCCAAGCTACACGGACACCCTGTAGGGAGCAGGATATTCCGAGTAGGAAGCCTATAGTTTACAATTTTTGTAAATAAAATTTTTGATTATGTTTTATAGTAATGGAGATATTGCCCAAATATTTAAAATCTGTATGAGGATTATGAGAAACCATCTCATATTTAGGCTTTCAGTCAATATTACTGTTTGGAAACCCTTTGTTCACTTTTTACTTACATTAGCGATGGATCCAGCCTTCCTCCACCTACTGGCATTTTGATCAAGAAGCCTTTGATTTTGTTGTTCATGGCTATCTTGGTTTCAAGATCAGCTAGATGCGAGTCAGACAATCTTTTCATCCTGCAACAAAACATATCATCATTTATAATAGAATAGTCCATAGAAGTGATTTCTCAATTTTTGCCTATGTTTTGGAAACACACTGTATAGTATGTGAAAACAACATATATCACATATGGGCTTCAATGAAATACAACTCATAATGTTACCCTACAACACATTTCGCGACAAATATTCCCGATTAATTATGTGTATCGTATCAGCATCAGCAAATAAGGTAAGTGATCCCAGCAATGCGTGTAGATGTGATATCACTCAGACATATCTGTTATTAGTGTAATGAAGTAATGTATAATACATGTCGAAGATACAATTTTAGTTTCGAGAGGTAGACTTGAATATCCTAGTTCATGAGCAGGAAACACAACCCAGGGGATTTTTTTGGACGGAAGTACAATAATAATAATATTTTTTATTCACTCAATGTACAAAGATAACAAACAATATGAGTAAATAAATATAAAATCAAAACAGGACCAATAATTTAAGTTGAAACTGTAGAATGCAAATGACAAAAAAGGACAAAAATTAGCTACAGTAGATTATGTATTTAGTTGATATTCGTATTTATGAGTTTATGAATTTCAGTCCTAGATATAGAATGTAGCCACTTTTTCAAATTTCTTTTGAAACAATTTCCGAAACGTAAATCTTTCAAGTCTTTAGGTATAATTTCATAAAATTTAGGCGCTAAATAGAGATATGATCGCTGCATTATAGATTTATGCGGTTGAGGAACTACTGTGCCACGAATTTTGTACCTGGTATAATGATTATGTTTAATTTTTTGGTCGGTGTTTACAAATTTATGGTAGTGAGTGATACTGTGTAAGAAATAAAGCTGTCTTATATCATACATTCGAACATCTGCGTATAATTTTTCAGTGGGATAAAGTTTCGGTTTTTTAAATATCATTTTTAGAATACTTTTTTGAAAAACATGTAAATTATAGATATGTGAGGAACATGCAGCTCCCCATGCTAATATACCATATGTGAGATGAGGCTCAATCAGTGCATGGTATAATGTTCGAAGATATTTTTCTGTCAATATATTCCCAAGGTATTTAATTTTGTAGGATACAAATCTAACTTTCTTTAAAATATAATTGACATGGATGTCCATCGTAAGTGAGGATCCAAGACCACTCCAAGGTATTTTATGTTGGGCAGTTGGGCACTCTATTAATTTGCATTTTTTGGTCATTAATGTTGAAGGAGAAATTTGTGTAATTTGGCAGATGTCTAGCATAAGATCCAAATGGTAAAAATTGTGTTTTAGAGTAGTTAATGCTTAATTTTCTACTGTTAAACCACCGAATAATTTTGATAAAACCATTTTCAATTACATTTTTCAGATCAGACCAGTCAGTGCCTTCATATAATATTGCAGTATCATCTGCAAAACTAGTTATTTTGCCAACACAATTAATTTGGAAAATATCATTTAAATATATATTGAATAACAGCGGACCTAAGACAGTTCCTTGTGGGACACCACACTTAATATACATTTCTTTACTAAATGATCCTGATATCTGCACAGATTGTGGGCGATTTGACAAATAATTTTCGATCAGTGAGTACGCGTTGCCTCTGAAACCAATTCTCTCCAATGCTTCTAATAATAATTTATGATTAACTGTGTCGAAAGCTTTCTTTAAATCAACAAAAATGCAGATTGAAGGGATTCTGTTATCAATATTTTGATGTATTTGATTTACAATTTCAGTTATTGCGTTCGATGTAGCCTTCCCTTCTGTAAATCCATATTGATTTTCACTTAAAATTTTGAATTTTGTGAGGTATCGAATCATTCTAGTAGATAAAACTTTTTCAAAACCCTTTGCTACACTGGATATTATTGATATTGGTCTATAGTTGTTAACATCTGTTTTTGTTCCTGATTTATGTATCGGTATTATATTACCTTTTTTTAAAATTGAGGGATATATGCCAGATTCAAAGCATTTGTTGATTAGGTAGGTGAGTGGTTCTGTTATGTCCTCGGCTATAATTTTCAAATGTTCGCTTTTAATACCATCGAACCCAGGACTTTTCCGATTTTTTAAGGACATAACATCACATTGCTCGACTTTATCCAAAATAAATGAGTTCAAAGTTCTTTTTGGAGGCTGAGTATTATAAAAGACAGCACTCATGGTACATAGCATGGCGCAGGGTTGTTGTTTCGATCATAAAACCCGCCACTCGAACAATATTTAAAACCTACAACGTTTTTTTTGTCACAACGAAAATGGACAGTAGTTTTATGAGAAAACTAAAAATATAATGGGTGATTTTTTTGCTAGTATCTTTTTGGCAACACCGTTTTTGACAGATGACGCGTGAATCGTGTCTTGTGTCATTGTCAAACTTGTTCAGTTTGGTCTATAATTTAACCTTGAATCGACTTACGAACGAACAACGCTTGCAAATTATTGAATTTTACTATCAAAATTCATGCTCGGTTAAGAGAGTGCATCGAGCACTGCTTCCAATTTATGGGCAATTTGGTCGGCCTACTGAGGGAGCTATTCGGAAGCTTGTGACTAAATTTCGAGCCCAGTTTACATTATTGGACATTAAACCACCAACACGCCGACGTAGAGTGAGGACTGAAGAAAATATTGCGGCTGTATCCGCCAGTGTTAGTGATGACCGTGAAATGTCGATTCGCCGCCGTTCGCAGCAATTGGGCCTCTGTTACTCCACTACGTGGAAAATTTTGCGACAGGATTTGGGTGTAAAACCTTATAAGATACAGCTGGTGCAAGAATTGAAGCCACACGACCTCGCACAACGTTTCCCATTTGGTGAATGGGCGCTGGCAAAGTTGGAGGAAGATCCACATTTTTATCGAAAAATTGTGTTCAGCGACGAAGCTCATTTCTGGTTGAATGGGTACGTTAACAAGAAAAATTGCCGCATCTGGAGTGAAGACCAGCCAGAAGCATTGCAAGAGCTACCAATGCATCCCGAAAAAAATCACTGTTTGGTGTGGATTAAGGGCCGGTGGCGTCATCGGGCCGTACTTCTTCAAAGACGATAATGGCCGGAACGTAACTGTGAATGGCGAGCGCTACCGTGCGATGATAACAAACTTTTTTTTGCCCAAAACGGAAGAGCTGGACTTGGCTGACATGTGGTTTCAACAAGACGGTGCCACATGCCACACCGCACACGAAACAATGGCCCTATTGAGAGGCGAGTTCGGTGAACTCACGTTTGGGGCCCGTCAATTGGCCGCCTAGATCGTGTGATTTAACGCCGTTGGACTATTTCTTGTGGGGCCATGTTAAGGCTAATGTCTACAGGGATAAACCAGCAACGATTGACGCACTGGAAGCCAATATTGAAGCATTTATTCGTGAGATACCGGCCGATATGTTGGAGAGAGTGTGCCAAAATTGGACCTTGCGCGTGGGCCACCTAAAGCGGAGCCGCGGCCAACATTTACATGAAATAATCTTGAAACATTGATTATATCGACCGTTCTATCGACTCAAATAAAGATTTAATCGTTTTTCAAATTTTTTGTGTTTTTTTTGAAAATCAAATCCTATACCTCTTAAAAAATCACCCGTTACAAGAAACAATCGTTTGATATATTACTAGTGCATATTTTAAAATATTTTAGTTAACTTCGTGCCATGGCAAATTTTTTTTTAACTATATCTTATACCAGGAGCTTCTAGAAACAAAAAGTTTGATATCACATAACATTTGGTTTCTATTGTCAATTGTTTGGATATTCAGTGAAATGTATGAAAAAATGCCGAACTTCGCGTCTCGCAGCTTCGCCACTTTTGAAGATATTTAGATAGATTTTAGTTCACAAGTATATTATTATCATCATTTTAAGTTGATCCGAAAGAATTACTAAAATATCTTTCTATTTATACAGGGTATCTAAAAACGCAAATTGCACTTTTACACATAAATTTCAAATGAAACACCCTGTATATTTCTACAACACTAAATAGCTTTCCTTGGGAACTTTTTTTAGATATTAAATGATTATACAGGGAGTAAAAAAGTTAGTTTAATCAAATTATCTTCGACACTTGTCGGTAAATAGCTATAAAGAGTGGCTAAACACAATAGGTTCTGTACTTGTAGGTAGTAAGGATTCTATTGCGTTTCTTACGTTTATCGCATCGCAACAACGAATGTTCGTAGCAAGCTGAAATTTTCAGGGTTTATTCTACATGGATTGAAATAGCTTTTACCATAAAATGAATAATGAAATATAACCTCAATTTTTTTTACCGCCCTCCAAAGTTGAGGGATGGAAGAGATTTTTCACAAAACAGTGAATTTAAGATTTTTTGCGTTGATTTCTAATAAGCTCTGTTGAAAAGTGACTTAAGAATTGCTGAAACTAACCATTAAGCTCATCTCAGAAAAAAAATCACAGCTCTAAACCTAATGGTTTAGTTGTAATTGCGATTGAAAGTTCATTATCCAGTTTTTTTCGAAATTTCACAAAATTGAAAATTTCACCTGAACTATAAGATTTTGGACCACACATATAGGGTTTCATTCGATAGGCCTTGATGCCCTCTATCACCTGTCTTCCGTTGAGCCACTACTAACTTTACACCCGGTATTAAAAAAATACATGTTTGTTATGACACCAAGTTATGGAACATACTATATATATCATTATAATTTCAAAATTATCACTAGTTACATAATCAAGGTTTACACGAAAACAGATTTTTAATATCTGCTCATAAAACTACCTTCCATTTCTGTAGGATTGTAAAATAATACGAGGGATGTCTTTTAAGTTTTGCATATGGAAATAAAACAACACGGTAGGTAGTTTTAAATTACTTTATTGTTTTTCGAAGTATTCTCCACGAAAATTAATACACATCTGCAGGCGCTCGAACCAATTTTCGAAGCACTTATTCCACTTGTTTACCGGCAGATCCAAAACGGCATTTTTGAATGCGTCAACTGCTTCTTCTGGTGACTGGAACCCTTGACCACGCAATCTGTACTTAATTTTCGGGACAGTAAAGAAATCGTTAGGACTTAGATCGGGACTATATGGAGGATGGTCCAATAATTCCACGTTTTCTTCCGTTAAATATTGCCTTGTTATTTGGTGGAGGATGATTCTTCTTACGGGGTTGATTTTTCGAAGCTCGGTGATGACTTTTGGCAAACAAATGGTGGTATACCAATCCGCAGTAACAGTTCTTTGCTCATTAAGAGGAATTGTTGCAATATGACCCGCTTTTAACACAAACGTCGCGACGATCTTTTTCGAAACACTTCGAGAACGGATGACTTTTGTTGGCTTTTCTTCACCTTGGAACACCCAAACAGCCGACTGTCGTTTATTTTCTGGTTCATAACAGTAAATCCACGATTCATCACCACTAACAATCCTGACTGCTTTCTGCTCTTCAGTCAACAGGTGGGGTATCCAACGAGAAACTAATTTTTTTTACTCCTAATTCTTCATGTAAAATTGTTTGAATCGAGGTCTTTGATATCTTCAAGGACGCCTCAATCTCGCGATATGTCACATGTCTATCTTCAATCATGAGTGAGTGAGAACACTGCACGTATCGTTGCGAAACTTTGAATTTAAGTTTACTAAAGAGTGAGGTTAAGATTCAGTACTCGCGGCTTACTAAGTTTCTATATGCAAAACTTAAAAGACATCCCTCGTAGCCCTAACGTAATATTGCAATTTTTTACACTGTGCTGGCTTAAAAACGATGACAATTAATCCTTTAGCAGGAAAAATGAGTCTTGTTCGTTTGTCAACTAAGTGACATATAAATCCGAACACCCAGTTTAAATGGTTTTATTTTAATAAAATTTTGTATAAGTACTTAATGAAGCATAATAAGTAAATGATAAAAATTTCAAAATGATTGCACTGCTTTAAAGCCCTTTGACCTTTAATAATGTGTCGATGCACCCTGATGTGCTACGCATTCTCCAACGCGCCTAGGCATGCTTCTGATCAGGTGGTCAATGTCCTCCTGTGGTATCTCATTCCAGGCAACCACCAACTCATCTCGAAGTGCTTCTAGAGTCTGAGGAGGACATTGCAAATTGAGCAATCTCCTAACCATCATATCCCACACGTGCTCAATTGGGGATAAGTCGGGAGATCTTGGTGGCCATGGTAACAATGTGACATCATTATGTTGAAAGAAGTCTATTGTGACTCTTGCAACATGTGGTCGGGCATTATCTTGTTGGAAAGTTGGATCTGCCAGGGTGTCAAGATAGGGTAAAAGATGGGGTTCTAGAACTTCGTGAATATAACTCTGCACGTTCATGTTACCTCTGATGAAGATTAAAAGTGACCTGGAACCATAAGCTATAGCACCCCAAACCATAACTCCAACAGTGTGATGAACATGTCTTTCAACAAAAAACTGTGGATTCCTCCTTTCACCACGTCGCCTTCTAACCCTGGCACGACCATCGTGCATGCCTAAGCAAAATCGAGACTCGTCACTAAAGACAATACTGTTCCATTCCTGATCCCAGAGTGACCGTTGTCTGCACCACTCAAGGCGATTACGTCGGTGTTCTCGAGTTAAAGGGAGGACCCAGTTTGGCCGGTATTAAAACAAGCCAAAACTTCTCATTCGTCGGTAAATACTTCGCATGCCAATAGGTCTTCCGTGTTCTGCAAACCATTCATTTGCAATGGACCTGGTAGTGGAGAAACGGTCCCTTAAGGCCAATAATCTTAGGCGGCGATCTTCACGGTCTGTTGTTCTACGGCGGCGTCCAGTGCCCCATGCTCTTTGCGTACGGCCTTCTCGAAGCCATGCCTGACAACACCTAACCACAGTGTCTTCACTTCTTTGCACTCTAACTGCAATTGCCCGAAAAGAAAGTCCAGCTTCCCGAAGTCCCACTATACGGCCCCTATCAAACTCACTAAGTTGACGAAATCGTACAGGTCTCCGTACTCTAGGCATCGTAACCGATCGTAAAGGATGTCAAGAACCAAAATCCGCCAACGTTGATTCTTTACTGCGGCTGAAATATTCATTTTTAGAGCGTTAGTGAATTAAAAAAAAGGAGTATAAAAACCGGAATGTCCAACTGATAAGGCTGAAAAATGTTTCACTTGTTATTTACAGTAAGATAAATACATTCACCAACTTTTATTAAAATAAAACCATTTAAACTGGGTGTTCCGATTTATATGTCACTTATATAATTATGCCATCTTGAAGAGAAGAAAAAGTGGCAATGTTAATGTGCCATTTATTTTGAAATCGAACTACAAATAAGGTCAGAAAAAAAAATTCTTGCTTATTGATACAGCTTGTATCCTTCTCGCTCAAATATGTATACCTAGCTCCTAGCTCTCAAACAAGGTTTGAGTATATTCGGGAAAGGACGCACTCAATATATTTGCTCACATTATCTGAAAAAAGCATGTTCTCCGCTATGCGCATTTGTTATTAGATAAAACTTGATACATGTATATCAAAAGCATGTTATCCAGTACTCGAGCTTGTCGCTGGAAGTACGATTTATTGTTATGGTGCGGTCTGTGAGGGACTATGGTATTTTTCTACCTAGCCAAAGTTACATTTTTCGTAGCGTTAATAGATCCTTTCATGGATGATGCACTTTATTCATCGCTTTTTCGCTAGTGTGTTAGAAAAACGTATTTGAGATTTCTAGATTGAAAGATAACTCACTAACTTGAATTCTCTGTATGTCCCACTAAGGGCCAATTTCACCAACATCAATCCGTTATTCTCCACCTATAGGGTAACAGACCGTCAAATACAACGAATGAGCTTCAAGTTCCAATCAACAAATTTTAGCAACCAATAGCTATGAAATGTTGAAAACAAAATACTGTCAAGGTATGAGATGACAGCTTGTCATTGAAACATCACCAGCTTATTGAATATTAAGAAATTACATAGAATTCAGTCAAAAATTAAAGAAATGTTGCATTTTTGAATAAAATTTATGTTTTAATTACCATTGTTGATCTTTTATTCATGTTTGTATTATTTTCTTTAATTGATATGCGAAACTAGGTGTTTTTTCCTATAAACCTCTTGCAGATAGCCATTAAGCACCTACTTTATGACAGGCTCTACCAAAAGATATTGCTCGTTTCCAAACATTCATTCATTTACTTGCCGTCCATCAGAACCATTATGGCACCTTAGATTGATATTCCCACAAAACCATTCAGATTTTTTTATATCCATACATCCATAAAGTTGAATATTTTTCGTTGTTCAGGAACTGAACAAACATCCACACTATATTCACAGCGATTAAGAAATTCCCAAATATATGCCTTAAAGCTACCAGCAAACCTAAAACCTGCAAAAAAAACTACAAATTTGCCATATTTTTTTTTCACGAGTACACATTCTAGGTTATATTTATATTAGACATTATCTGAATACAGCTGATTATTACATTTCAAGGGGTGACATGTGTGGGATCTGTCAACTTTTGGTACCAGTCACAAAACATATACTCTGAAGGTTTAATTCCATGGTATTCAATGACAACACGGTGACTTGTGTGGTTGTCAGCGGCCATTTTGTGAGGGTGCGATCCTATATTTAGAAGTATCAATACATTTCACGAGTATCGTCATCTTTCGATCCGGACTGTGCCAGAAAGACTGACTGCCATTTGGCTGCGACATTACCCTGCCAAATCAGACATATCCTTCATCATTTTCAAAGAAATTGTACAAAACCTTCAAATTTGTGAAGATAGCGAGTTTCACTTCATACGTTGTTACCAAACATGCCCAAATCATCAGTTGCGTGATATTCATCCCGACCACTGCATCTCCACGGCTAGGCGACCTGTATGTTAAATTTGTAATGATAGGGCAGCAGGTTATGCTATAAATCACACGTCACAGTGTTAGTGCACTGATTGCAACAGTTAGATGATACCAAAAATATTTTCATAAATAGGAGATCTTTCCCATTCCGGATCGAACAATCTACCAAAGATGCTTATAATCATGATACCTAGTAAATTTTCACGAAAAATATTCAAAACCAGCAAATGTAAAAGATTCATTTCGCACCCTCCACCACGGGACGTGATCGTCGTTAGACTTGGCAACCCTGTGAGTGACAGATAGATATCCCCGCCAGTCAAAAACACAAAGAATAAACATTACTAGTTTTTATGATTTTTGGACATTATTTGTGAGACATTTTTCATAATTTTTTGTCTATGTCCATAGTAATTGCATTATGCATCAGGGAGATGTAGGGATCGACACGTCTTACACATATTATCTGAGTTTTAGGATGGAGAGGACATAATGTTTTTATTGCTTTGAAGAAATTCATTAACCCATAAATTAATAAATGATTACTATTATGACGTAAAGGAAGATGAGGAATTGGATTTAATGTATTTTATATTCTATTTTCTTGGAAAATACAGACAAATCCACACTATTCAACAGGTATGTAATGATAACATTGAACTTAAATTCGAGATTGCCATGCATTAACAAACTTCCAAATCTGCTGCCAAATTTAACAGCTAGAAAATCGACCTATTATTTGCCGCATTCCCATTCGTTGAGGGGGATAACGGATTGTTAAATGTAAACCTATAACATATATCAAAATACATGAAAGTTGTCCTGTTTCTTCTGTTCAAAAGCATCATGTTGGAATCAAAAAGTGGTCTTGTTTATAATACAGTCGAATTTTCACGATTTTATTCAAAATTTTAATAGAAATCATTGATATTCTGAGACCTTTGACAGCTTCTGTCAAATTGCATTTCGATAAGGTATTTTCCCATTGGTCTATAATATTAATGTTGGTGAAATTGGCCCTAAAGGTGTCAAATGATTAAATTTTTGTTCCAACTTCATTAGAATGTGCTCATTTTAGGATAAATTACTTTCGAACTTTTGAGTGTAGGTTTTCCACTTCTTAGGAAAAAAGGCGTCAAGTTGACTTTGCATTTCCCACGCGGCGCTGCCGTCAGTTCGTAAAGGATTATGTTTGACACAAGTTAGCCCTTCCGAGGAAAAAGTCAGCTACGAACATGTATAAGAAAAAATTAAAAGACCTTTCATCTCTGCGATGACCAATCCCACGTGAATGACGAGATATTGGCCATGCACAGTGCACACAGCATACAGCGATTGTAGACTGTAAGGTACAACGCTCTTCCATTGGGGGATCACGTTGCCATCGCACGCACCGGCATGTTGGAAATATTTCTAACTTTTAAGAGTCAATGTACGGGGACAACTATGATGAGTGAAATAAGTCTAATAGGTGCGTAGAATAACTGGGGTTTGAGTGTTAGCTCCGAGAGTACAAGGCTCTGAAAAGCCTGTGACGTCACGCAAAGTAGGCCTATGCATGCTCTTAAGGAGTTTCGCGATGCCTGGCTGGCAAGAGAACCGCGCCACCATTTCTCTGCGGTGTTGTCATATCTAGATTTGATACAGCAGTATCGAATTCTCTACTAATTAGTTGTTCCTCTCTGTGGGCAAGATGTACTCGGAGCCTGCGCAGCTTCAGTGATGATGTCATTA